AATGTCTCATGTCAGCTAATGGACAGGCTGGCGGGGTTTCTGCATCAGGCTAGATGGAGGACCTTTGGTCCATGCAGCACATGGCACGGCTTCACTTGCAAGATGTTAGAGTAGAGGCCAGTGATAATGAGTAAACTGGTTTTATGTTGTTGCCCACCCCCAAGTATGGGGGCAGTTCTGAGACACTCTATTTTTATGTTTCTTTAAGTGATTTTAATTTGTGTAGCCTTGGCCTCAGTGAACACTTGTGTGACTTACTATGTTGCTGTGCAGAGGTAACGGGCAGATGGTCCCACTGACTATTCAGAGATTAATATAGATGTAGTAAAGAAGTCATTCCCCTGAGAAAAACACATATAAATCTCAACATTAATCACTTTTCTTATCTGGATCAACTTTGTCAGAGGAGCTTGCATATACTTGCATGCAGCTGCGTTGCTCTGTGAGGGTGGACACAAAGATTTTGCATGGAGGAGCATCGTCTGAGTTGATCTCTGTCCCTGGAGAGCAGGAGGACTGGGGCTGGCAGAGCAGAGGGGTAGGTATGCACTTTCTGTCCCCATGAGGAGAAGTTCCCTGAGGAGTTTGGCAAGAGAGCTCCTGCCCATGCAAAGCAAGCCTGTACTTCTCAGGTTGCCAAAGCCCAAGACAAGGGTCACAGATATATGTGAGACCTCAAACGAGGGACACAAAATGAATTATTCATGCAGGAAGCTGAAAATGCTGCCCTCTTGCTTCCTTTCATACAGTCCTCAGTCCTGTAAACTCTATTTTGGCATGTATTTGTAATGTAAATTTTCCTCTGCATTCAAGAGGAGGAGGATCACCAAAATGTGTAGTAGCTTTGATAGTAGGTTGGGGGTTATTTCATGGGTCTGCATTACAGTGGCTAAGGCTTGAACATAAAAATTATCAGAATAACAACCACAACCATCATAGTATTTTCTCTTTAAATTTTCTCTGCTGTGTGAGATACCTTCTGAAATTCAGGCTTTATGTGACACCAAGAATGTATGTTGCAGCAGTGTGAGCTCACTAGTGAACTAACAAGTGTTATTTCTGTATACCTGTAATTTATTAGCCATACCAGGAGTCCTTCCCCTGCAGTTCCATGACATTTTGTGTGCATGATATCCTGGCAAGTAATAAAGTAAAGCTGCAATCCAAAGGTTGTGAAACCACAGAACCAGCAAACCCTAGTTTGTTAAAGTGAAATACTTTGCTTTCATTTTCTGGTCTAAGATATAAATGATTAAAAGACATTCTCTTTTGCTCTGACAGAAGTGAATTTTGGATGCTACAAATAACTTTTCTGTGAGTGTTATTTCTTGCAGAGGCTGTTACTCCTTCCTGCAATTACAGTGACTTTGCCAGATGTTCAGAGACAACAATATACTGTTGTAGTCTGTTTTCCAGTTGCTTTATTTGTTCCTAGGACAGCTCCTCTCTTGCCTTTTCATTCAGAGAGGAAATAGACAAAGGGGAAAAAACCCCTTTACAAATGTTTTAAAGTGCAAAAACTTCGACAATGGATTTTGCCCCTCTCTCTCTGTCTAACTGAAACAATGAAAGTCCTGCAATTTAATCTTCTTAGCCCCGGGGGGTCTTCTAATTATTGCAGCTGTTGCGCAGGCTTATACATACTGATGTCCTCCTTCCCATTCATCTTGGAGGCTCTTTTATGTCCGTTAGCTCCTCACTGGAAATGGAAAAGCCTTCAACTCTTAAGAATAGGTGAAGTTTACTTTTTGGATCAGAGCGAGGAGAACAAAGCATTCTCCAAGTTCCTTTCCAGGATTTACAAATGACCAAAGGCTATTCTCAGAACTGCAAAAGCTAATTTAAATTGCCGGTGACATTAACTCTTTAGTCGTGCCTTAGTAAGGTACCACAGGGATCCCAAACATACACCAGCAAGGAAAGGCAGTGGTTGCTTCCAATGTAGAAGAAGAGAGGTAAGATAGCTGTTTGTGAAGAATGCGCTCATATATTTAAGTAGTAGGAAGCTTAAAAAAAACCCAACAAGTTCAATGATACAACAACACAAACAACAAAAAAGCAAATAGTCTAACGTAAAATGCATTTTAATTAAGATTAAAACTGCAAATGAAATTAACAAACTGCTTTGCATACTTGAGGATTTGACCGTGAGTTAGTGCTAAATATTGTATACTACATAAACACCAATGCTACCAAAAAATGTTTAAGGTGTTTGTATATTTTCAACAATAACATGTAGTAAAGCCTGATGCCCAGCTTGTGTTTATTATTACAGGTTCATACTTATGATTCAGGGTAGATGTTTTATCTGATTCTGTTGTAAGCACTGTAAAGTTTACCCATTTCTTATTTCTGGACCCAGAACACCAAGCAGGTCACCTGAACTCATGTTTTTATTTACTAATGTACCACTGAAAATAATAATGCTCATTTATAGCAGCAGGTAACTTGCTAATGGTAGCAACCAATGTTACTAAATTCTGTATATGTCCAACACATACCACATGTCTAACATGTGTGGTCAAGGACCGTGTTGTTTAGGGCACACAAAGCCAAAATATGTGTGTAAGCACACACATGCATAAAAATATACATATATATATATGTATAAATAAAGTTTTGCACATCTTAAAGCAGTGTAAATGGTATGTAAATTTGCCCTAACCATGCAGTGGAGGATGTCTTTTAACAAAGAAAGTGAAAGGATATAGGGGATAGTAAAGCTATCTCTCTGATATTCCCTTTCAGTCCTGCCTGATACAGATAGTTCGCATTAACAAGAAAATGTGCTTGAGGCTGTGCTTTAGCACTGAGGTTGTCTGGAGCAGTGTGGCCCCTATCCATGCTGTTACGCTCATTTGCTTCCCATGTAGATGCCCAATGGAAGCTGTCTCTGGTCTTTGCTTGTTCCTGAAGTCTGCCCCCAAATTGTTTAGAAGGGTGTTATGGGAGCTCAGCCAAATAATAAAGTGAACTAAATTAACAATTTAACAGTCCTGATGACTGAATTTCAGACACCTGGGATGTTTAATTTAGCCATATTTAACATATTCATAATTTTTCAGGGTGTATTCTTCACTTGTCACTGTTCCTAAACAATGGTTGGGTCCATTTGAAGCTAAAATTACATCATTCTTGGAAGAAGAACCACTTGTGATGGGTTCTGTCAGTGGTCTGAAAAGGCATTTTATGGGGACATTAGTGGTCTGTAAACTTCCAGCTAGAGGCTGCAGCTGGTGTGTGACTCCATATTAAACAAGGAAACACGAGGATTCCCAGTGTTTCCTCTTCCACTTCCTGTTTCTCTTCCTGTAGATTTGATAAAATAAATGACGATTGAGGTCTACCTGTGATTAGTTTTTGGGTAATGTATTCTATTCTAATTTCAGAAACTTTCTTAGTGAATCATGACAAGAACAAAAATTTGTGTTTTCAATTTATTGGCCATATCCAGACCTTTGAGAATTGGCAAAATTCTAGTGAATTTGCCTGCATGAGAAAAAGTAGTTATAATTATTTTGGAAACCTTTGGATCAACATTTCATTAAGTTACCTGTATTTCTGTTTACTTGTAACTTAGCAGACTTTTTCCATCTTTCAACAACACCCTGAGAACAAAGGTTTGCTGTTACATTGCTACACTGCCACCATTTTCCCAAACAGTATTACAGTATGTTATATCCTCATCTTTAAATACTCCAATAAAATCAGCAGAGAAAATCAACACTTTATAGTTTATTTTTCTTTCTTTGTAGCCATTCTGTGCAGTGGCATTACCTTCTGTAATGTTTTACGGTGCTGTAATGCTTCTGAAGCATTTAGAGTGCAATAAATGAGGTTGAAGGTTATTTTTTAGAGATCGTCAGGCGACATCCTTTTGATGCTAAACTTTAAAAGACACAATAGAGGAGGAATGATTTTGCATGGTGCAATATCTGTTTTCTGCCACTTCGGAGTCGGTGTCCTTTATGGTTTTAGGTGTGCATCTGCAGCTGTTGCTGAATTCATTGGGAATTATGTGCATGTAGAAAACAGAATGTGGCTTCTAGGCAGATCCCACCTTAATCAAAACCATCTTAACTCTAGGCCTCCTGCTCTAAATGTCTGATGTGCTCAAGTAACTTCTGAAATTGTTGAGATTCTTTCCAGAACCAGAAAGTCCCTAAATAAAAACAAGCTTTGTTTTGTCTGTATCATTTGTAGTGTTTGGAGGAAAAGACGGCTATGAAAAATGGACCTACAACAGCCACGTATTTGTAAATTTTATATCTGTAGTAGGCTTTAGTTCATACAGCAGGCATCAGGGACATCACTGATTAACAAATAGGCATCAAAAAGTACAATTACTTTGGTATCCGGATTGGTTGCATGTCTCAATGCAGCTAGCAGACCTCAAGCACTCAGGGATCCCCCATTCCCTGTTGACATTCCTGCATGCAGTTACAGCAGATGGCTAAGTTGGAAAGCCTATTTTTAAACCCACTTTTCCTGAAGTCTAGATGTGCTTATTGTTGTTGGGTCACGCAGTTTGATTCACAGTTGGATGTGTCATACAGGCCAATAAGCCAACATGTCAGGTAGCACTGTTGGCATAAGCAGCCTTGCCTGCAGTGCAATTAGCTGACCAGCACTTGGAACTAGAGGTGTCTGGGTAACTGTGAAGACATTGACAGATTTTAGCATTCATTCTCCCTTTTAATTACCATTTTATGTAATACAGCAGTGAAAATACATATATGGTTTAATAACTGTTTTTGTACATGTATGGTGAATATAATTTCACCCACTATTAATAACATACAATGTTACAGAATTACTGGTAGCAGCCACAAGAGGGAGGGACATCACTTATATGGTGACATATCTCTCAGCCTTTTGCTATTTTTATTCTACCCATCTGCTTTCAGCATTGTAACAGTACCTAGGTAAAGTTACACTATGATGATGGTTTCAGAAATGATGCAAAATGCGTCCCTAACGTAAGGGTTTTGCCTTTTCAGGTGTTGTATTTCACTATCGTGCAGCAACCAGCAGGTATACTTTGAATTTTATGCAAGCTCAGCAGACTTGTCTGGACAATGGTGCTGTCATAGCAAGCCCAGAACAACTGAAAGCAGCCTACGAAGATGGATTTGAGCAATGTGATGCTGGCTGGTTGTCTGACCAGACTGTTAGGTGAGACATTTAAAAGGCCACTCGACAGTTTTTCAAAATTAATATGCTTAGCCTTTACAGACTTAAAATGCTGAATTATCATAACAAATATGAGCATGTTGCATTTCAGGTACCCAATTAGACATCCAAGAATAGGCTGCTTTGGAGATAAAATGGGAAAAAAAGGAGTCAGAACATACGGACGCCGTTTTCCTAATGAAACTTACGATGTGTACTGCTATGTTGAACGCATGGAAGGTAAGATAGGTCCATATTTACTATGCACTGCAAAATTTTAAAATTACTAGAACTTCTAATGTGGAAAGACAAATAAATAAGAAGTTCTGTGTAAAATAAGGTTTTGGTTCTTTTGAATCTGAAGAGAATTGCTGAATGAAGTGAACCTATAGTTTGTGATCTAGAGACCTTGAATAAAGGCAAATGCAGAGTCTACAAAAAGACAGGTTTAAAGTTGCTGTAGTTAGTGCAGTAGATCTCACAAAAGTTTCTGTTGAAGCATCTTATTTTTTGAATGTCATAAAAGGATTTTCAAAGAAACACATTTAAAGTTTGAGAAACTATGTGTAGTATATATATATATCAAGATGGATATAGTACTTGTGCTAACTGTGTTATAGTTCATAAAGTATGTAATTAAAGTTTTAATGAGTCTATGACATAAAATTAGACAGATATTTAATTGCAATCCAAATTTAATAATATCTCATTAAGAAAGGGGCATCTCAGCATCAAAAAGAAACAAGCAAGCAAGAACTTTCCAGTGAGGAATCTAGATCTTCCTTAGTAAGTTTTTGCAAAAGCTGCTAACTATACGGCTGTAATGCAGAAGAGTGTTTACAATTCTGCCACATGGTGACCTTGAATCATGGATCATATTATGAACCACACAGTACCTTGTGATCCATGGTTAGGGTCTGTGATCAGTTTGATGGTAAGAAGAAATACATGGTGATATTTTCTGTGATTGGGCAATTAATAGCATGCACAAATCTCTGTATTATGTGTGATATTGTAATTGTTTCTTAGAATCTCTCCTCTGGAAGTGAATTTAACTGTATCCTTTCAGTGACCCTATAGAGACGTTCCAGACACCAGATACCTTTATGCTTAGACATTACTGTAACTAGTTAAATATGTATACTTAAAATGTAAACGCAAAATTAGCCTTTCCTGTGCCATAGCCTATTTTTCTTTTTTTTCCTTGGCTTTGTGCTGGTTACGCACTTGGGAACTTCATTCTAGTACAGAAATACTTTACAACTGGGACCAAAGTAAGTTTTCCATTTACCGCCATGGTCTGAGCATGTGATACTACTTCTGTTTTAGAGATTTTATTTCATACCAATTTTACAGTTCCTCTCTAAATTAATGTTATAGTTCCTAATCTTTTGGGCTGATCTTTGCCTGATATGCATTTAGTTAAGTGCTCTAGAAGTCAGCAGAACCATAAACTATTCACGACTCTGAGCAAGCCTGTCTTTGTATGTATACATATTTGTAAGGAACAATCGCAAAATTAAGGTGATTGTTGTTCATTTGTATTCTGTCTTAGAGCAGAAATAAATCAGATCATGCAAAGTTTTCTTCTGCTAATGACTTACAGAGACTTTAGTCACTGAAATCAGTAAACTTTTTCACTCAGTCACTGAGGATCTGACCTAGATTATGCTCACCTTGGAGACTTACAAAATGCAAGCCATAAAAGATTGCAAAGTCTCAAAAAACATATAAGGTTGGGAATTCTTAAAATTAAGTGGTAGAATTTTGTTAGTGCTCAACATTTTCTTAAATTCACTTATGTTCCAGCTGTATCTCTGTCAGTGAGCAGCACATCTGAACACCTTGAGTTCGTAACATAAATTCCCGATGGAATTCAATTTTGAATCATCTGAGTCAAGGCTCTTGAATACAGTTTTGGTCTTTCCTAGCTTACAAAAAGAAGTTTTGAGTAATCTGCATCATTCCTGGATGAAAAGCAATGGCTTGTTCCTTTCCCTCGTGTCGTGGTTCAAGCCCAGCCGGCAACTT